AAAGCATTAAACATTACTTGCAAATGCAGTGAAAAACTAAATGATGCTTATTTAAAATATAAATATATAATAAAATGAATAAAAATTTGCGTTTTTAGTTTTATAAATATGAAGAAATAAATCAAAATGGTAGATTACTCTTTAAATTTTGGTTATAAATAAACAGGGTCGAGACAATTAAAAAGCTGAAGAGCAAAGTATTGAAAAGCAAAATCTCCATGTATGTTTCTTAGTAAATATGACCTCTTCTGAGCGTATTATATATATATGTATATTTATACGATAGCTTTTTATCTACATAATTTAGTTACTCATAGCCCATTCCGATACTTTATTAAGTATTTATTCAGACTGCGTATGGGTGTCAAAAAGTATTTTGTTATAATTTTTTAATGTCTGGCAAACTCTTAGCATGCAAAGTTTATCTACTACTAACAACGTCTTCTTAGGATACGTGATCCTACTTCATAAAGTAATATATTCCAACTGAATAAATCATTTTACTTCATGTGGGATGACGTTTTAGAGAAAAAATTATATTTTATTTATATTAGTATCTTAAAATATCTTATCTTTGAATGCATTAAATAAGTGGAAGTCAAGGTCAAGGGCAAACATTTCATTGGAAATTAATATATATTTTGTTCAGAAAGAAATTCTAAGCGTAATTTTCACAGAATTTATTTCGTAAGGATAAAAAAAAATACAATACTGCAAAACGTTTTCTAAACCTAAGCATATTTTTATTTCAGCATAATATTTGTTGTTCAAGCGTGATTGAGAAGTTAAAACCTGTCATTATAAAACACTCATCTTTTCCAGTGTTATAATTTTCTATTGACTCTTCGCTCAACTGAAATTTTGCATTAAGCTAAAAGTCTTATTGCGAATTAAAAAGAATTTATGATAAGTTGTTTAGAGAAGAATACACATATTTTGATATATCAGAAATTAAATATTAAATTGTTTCTTTAGAAGTTAACTAATTCGAAGAATTTTTTAAAATTTAAATTGAAGAAAAATTTAAATAAACAGAGGAGTATTGGTATTTTACATAATAATATCAGAATAAATAATTTTTTAGATATTTAATTCTGTCTACTATTAAAATTTTTATACTTCCTAGTATTTATAGTACAATATTATAAGTATAGTGAAACCTCGGATCACGAACCCTTACATCACGAACTATTCGATTCACGAATAAATCATCTGAATCAAAAACGTATCGGAGAATAAATGATAGTTTAGTTACGAACACTGAAGTCGGCAACACATGATTTTTAGAGGTGTTTTGAGGTAGCCTAATTACACTCAAGGTCTTTTTGAAACGTCATTTTAATGCTTCCCGTCGTTTAATTTTCATTAAACCTGGCAGCAAGTGACTTACGGGACATCGTATTTATCTTAGAGGAAGGTATGATAAGATGGTATTACTGGCAGAGACTTCAAGAGCTTCAACGCTCAGGGCAAATTAATTACAGCGATATTATATCACTGGGCTTGAGCTTGGAAGTGAACAGTGAACAAATGAAGGAGTTATTATAGGGCCAGGAAAAATGAACTCAATAAAAGACTGCAACAATTACAGAAGGAATCCCAAAGAGCAACTGTGAAGGAAATGTCTCCTAAGGAAGGAAAACTAATCCAAATTCTTTGACCCGCGAAATGTTTTCAAAATGGAGCAATACAAAGCATGCACATAACTATATCACTCGGATAAAGAAATGCAAGCTTTAACAATGACAATGCCATTGACAATGCATTTTCATTGACAATGCTATGTCTCACTTCATAAATATTTTGAAACGTAGACAAAAGCCAATCACACGGGACACATTTTTTATGTAAAGAAGGCTCAGTGAATCTCAATTAGAGCTGAGAGGAAGCAAGAGACACCAAAATGATGTGCCAGAAAGTCAATTAACTAATGTTTTAATGGGAACTCCTCATCCAAACAATAGCATCTCCTCGCTTCCCCTTCCTCATCATTTTCCAGTTATGCCGTTCACTCCCCTTCGTACAGGTAATACCAATCGCCCCGTTTGTGAGTATAATAAAATTAAATTGAATTTTCTTCTGTTTCATCTATTTAATATTGTCTTTATCTTGTGTTTTGCCTCAACTTTAGATGATATCTTTTTTTTTTTTCGTTACGAACATATACACAAAGTACTATCATAAATTTTAATTAAGTAATCATTTATGCGATCTACACGCGAATTAATTCATTCTACACTAATTCCTATGAGGCAGCAGTTTCAGTTTACAAACTTTATGGATGACCCAAAAAGTTCTTCAGGAGTAAATGTTTTATTTAATTTACTTCTGAAGGACTTTTTGAGAAAGGTCTTATGGTATTAACTGAACAAAAGATGTGCGTGCCGGCCGAGTGGATAAGGCCGTTTAGAAGTAGAAGTTCAAATCACTCCCAGCTGATTGGCTACATGGATATTTTCGTGCTTTTATAAGTGTAATAGAATATAAATCAGTTTCCTTTAAAATTTTTGTCTGAAATTTTTGTCCGGTGAATTCTAGTATTTCGATTGGAGTTCAAATGTTGGTAAACGGCGTGGCTGCATGGGCGTTATCACCACTTTTCTAATGTGAATGCAAGCCTGTTTGTCTTAGAAATACTTTCATAAAGGAATAAATCCTCAAGACACGGGAATTCCATATGTGGTCGAGTGGTTAAAACCGCTAAATACTGCGAGTACGACTCTGTTCGATTCCTGGCAAATGGCTTGGTTAATTTTTCAGGTTTTCCCCATGTTTTATATGAATACGAGACAGTTTTCTTTAGAAAGTTTTCCCTCTCCTTAGGTAGACGTACTTTGTAAGCTTTGCCAAATTCCGGTAACCAGACTTCACGACAAGGTAGCGTAAGCTTTCTTTTCCATAAGCTAATAAATCCAATTCATATCTTAAAAAGGGAAAACATTCTTTTTCTTAGGAAGTTAGCTCCATTTAAAAGTAATACTAACTGCCACTTGTAAGAAATAAAAAATTGAAATGATTATCACGGTCTAAGAGCCATGACTCTTTTACTTACTAGCCGTTTGCGCGGCCAGACGTCAAAAATTGCATAGTTATTATAAATAATAATAATAATAATTTTAATGAGTCAAGCTTATAAATTATGAAAACAGAAATGATGAACCGCATTTATTTATTTTAAATAGCCTATTTTGTTAATCAATAAGATATTGATGAAATTTGCAATAAATAAACAAGTAAATATCTTACGCTTTACCAATTGGCAAAAAATTGACTCGTGGAAGATAAAAATATTTAATTTCGGGCAGTGGCAACACTTTTCTTTTAAATCTGTTTTCTGATTATATTTGAGTTTTTCGAATGTGTTTAAAATCTAAGTACCTTACGGTTTACCGAGTACCGACACATTGCTTTAGCTGAATTTATTACTCGAAAATTCGCTAATTTGCGCAAAATGTAAAACAAATACAAAACGAATTCTGAATTCAGATATGCGTACTTTCAAGAAATTTTTTTCTACAAAATTTGGAGGCTCTAGGTGCTGTCGTTTTTTCATAATAGGAGGAACATACATACATACATACATATTTTTCAATATTTAAGTATAGAGATAACAGTATACTGCCGTATTTTAATTTGATAAAGGTTTGATAAAGAATATTCAATTAATTACTTTAAATAAAATAAAAATCTAAATAAATTAATTTTATAAATCTAAAAGATGGATAAAAGCATTGAATGTAAATCAAGCTTTCCTCTAATAAGCAAGATTGTGAGGAGAGTAAGAAAGATGTCGTAGATAGTATTACATAAAATAAACTGTATAAACTATTTTGGATACAGTCAGTGTAAATGTTTGGAGTGTGTAATAAACGGCGGGGGATATTTCCAAGTTTATTTGTATTTATGTTGCATACTCATCAATGTAACTTCCGAAATTGATGATCAAGTTTTTAAAAGAGGTTTTCCATTCCAAACAAATTCTATAACTGTAATTTCCAAATTTTTAATGACTCACTTAATCTAATCTTAATGGGCAGCATTATAAATTAAACTGTTCTTTAACCCATTAACGCCCAAATTAACAATTCTTGAAATTTTGCCTTGAAATTGATAGACATTGTTAGAAATGCATAAATTAAAAGTATTTCAAAAGCATTTTGAAAATTTTAACTGCAACCATATTTTTTAAGCCGTCCTCATTTGAGGACACTGGGCGTTTGTATATAAAAATGCAAAATTTTTAAAAATCAAAAATGATTTAGTTTTAATATATAAACAAACTAATAGACAAAATAATGTTAAAAATCAAAATTTATTTTAAGACGTGTAAGAAAACTTTTTTTTTACATTTTTAAGATAGATTTTTTTTTATGGAAAAGAGGAAAGCATTGAATGCACAATGTTACATTGCATTTCATGCAATATGTTCTTGGCTTTGAGGCACAATTGTCATATTGGCAACGCCTTTGTTTATCTCTTTTACCAATAACATGCTGTATTTTGTCGAATTTTATGTCAGGAAGCACGTTCGATCTGCATGTTATCCTCTTTTGTACTGGTCTTCCTAGGATTGCTTTTGAGTCGGCTCCTTTTTTCAAATAGGTTACTGCAATGTATCTCCTAAAATCTTTGATTGACATTGAACGATGGATCCTTTTATAAATGAGATAGGCATTTACAACAGCCATATCTATCATACTAGTAATAAGACAAAAATACCATTTCTTTCCTCGTATGGCTATAGAATGTTTCTCAAGAAGCCAATCATGAAGGTCGACACCCCCCATAAATGAGGTATAGGAACTTATAGCATGAGGCTGATTTACTTTCACCTTTTCTTTTTTTCTCTACACTCCATCTTTGTACTGAAGATAGCGGCATTATTGTGTCAAAATTAGTGGCCAATGAAACACACTTATTGTCTTTCCATTTGACAACAAGAATTTCATTTGTTGTGTCAAATTTACTATCGTAAAACCCTCTCTCTTTCTTACTCATTTTCATGACTTCAGTTCTTTCAGTTTTTTTAGTAACGCATGACTGGTAAAAAAATTATCAAAATAAACACGATGGCTCTTCGGATCTTCTACAATAGATAGTAGATCTAGCACCACTTTTGTACCTAAAGGCAGTTTGTCAGATTCGGAAGTATTTGTTTCCTTTCCACAATACAGTGCAAAGTTATAACAGTATCCATCGTTGCCACACAGAGCCCAGATTTTATACCCAAATCTAATAGGTTTAGATTTTATAAACTGTTTCAGTGTATGATGACCATAATACCGGACGATCATTTCATCAACAGACAAATTTTCATGGAAAATGCCCCATTTTTGAAAATTCTTGGAAAGCATTTCTAACAAGGGACGTATTTTAAACGATTTATCATTCTTGTTATATTGATGTAATTTATTATCTTGGAAATGCAATAATCTTTTGAGCTCTAAGTAGAAATTTCTAGTCATAGCATTCTTCACTATTGTTACTCCTAAATCATCTGCTTCTGCCCAGTAGTCCCGTTCACTGGGTAAAGTATGATAGCCCGAAAGTATCAGAAATCCTATAAATGTTTTTATTTCATCTTTAGTCACATTATAATTCAATTTATTTTTCATTTCGTGAGCATATCGATTAGTTTCCTCTACGATCATATCATAAACACTTTCAGTAAAAAAATTCTTCAAACAGCTCAACTGGACTCATATTATTAGTTTGCGCTGTCAATATATCAGAATTTCTCTTGGACAAATTTTCCAAATTCCCAAATGTGTAAGCCGGGCTTTCATTCGTCCATACAATTAACTCTCTTTTACGTTTACGGGAATTGTTTTCCTTTTTCTTATCCGAAATAATAGGGTTATCATTATCATCTGGCATTCTAATTTCTAATGTACCTGCAACATCTGATACAACTGGAGTACCCAAATTATCATCATCGAATTGCTCTTCATCTGTTAGCTCATCCACATCCGGAGGCATCGATATAATATCTGCTTCTATTTCTTCAGAAAAAAAGATAAGCAGTCGCCTCTTCTAAGCTTTTAAATATTTTATTTCTACTCATTTTTCAAGATTTATTTATAGTTTTTCTGCAACAAAATAACAAACACTTAAAAAATAAATCTGAATACTGCATAAAAACTATACCCAAACGCCCAGTGTCCTCAAACGAGGACGGATATGTTTCCTGTTTATTACGGATATATTTACAACAATAAATATTAACAAACATGCTAATGACACAATATGGGCTATCTAGATTATATTTATAACAAATTGAAAGAATTTACCTCATAAATTCAGTGCCATACAGTGGAACATAAAATAAACAACGCGATTACCAAAAAACGGGTAAATTATACTTTATCTTTCCCGCGCAATTTTACTTAGTTCCAAAATAATTGCACATCTCCCATTGTATGGTGATGTCATCTATCGGACCAAATTGTACATATAAAAAAATTTTTTAATTTAATGCAGGGAATAACAATTTTTTACAGCGTCCTCAAATGAGGACACTGGGCGCTAATGGGTTAAACAATGCTTAAAATTAAAAGGTTAGTCGCATCGATGTATTTCAACTGAAAATTCCCGTGAGAAGTTTTTAGTTTCGAGTTAAATTAACCTTGAGGTTGTGGCTTCAAATTCCCGATATTTTATCTGTTGCTTTAAATGAAACAAAGATCCAGTCACCGAACGAGGATTGTTGATGTCAGAGACGTGACGGGTTCAAGCAGAGACTGTGATGTCGTTATCATAGTAGAGGATTACGACCGTCATCTCTCCAACGAGTGATGCGTATTAAGTTAGTTCTTATTGAAAATTTATTGCTCAATTATGTAGTTAAGTTTGATCGCTTTATGATGCCATTACTTTCTAGAAAAAAGTAGTTTTGATATTATTTTTAAGTGACTCCAGTTGGATGCATCTTTTAGAATTTGAGTTGTTAATGAAGAGGACTACGGATATTCGCACTAAATTCAGTTTCTGCAGTTAAATCGGTTATCTCCCTCCAAAGTGTACAAAATATTCCGTAAGACCAATTAACTGGATGTACGAATGATTAATTTCGGCGAAGGGAAAAAATACTGTTTCTTTTTATGACAGTTCAGAACATTGTTTCTCAATCGGCGTTCCCTGTAACCCCAGATTTTCGCTGAAAATAGTGATGAACAGGCAAATTATATGTAGATGTAATGATAACTATACACAGTGCTTATTACACAGTGCCCTCAGACTTGACTATTATTTTTTGGGTTCAGGAACAGTAAGTCTGAGGAGAGATAGTTTAAAAGGATATCTATTTATTTTTAACTGGAGTTCATTTTCAATTTTAATACTTTTCTATCACTCTCTTTTCACTCACGCGTTTCATGCTAAAAAACAAATGAAACAGCAATTGTTTATTCAGATTAAGATAGAAAGAACTGTTATTTAAGAAAGAGATTCGGAAGTTAGTTTTAGAGCGTGTCTGCCTATTCCAGGTCACGCTGTGCTGTGATTATTAGCGATCTGATTCTGTGGTGTTGGGTGCCTTTCCTGCGCATTAAATTATTCTGTGAGCCATTAGACTGATCTACCACATTTGAATTTGTTCAGTGTTACGTATTTCTGTTAAGCGAGAAGTGCTTGGCTTATATAAACCCAGGTTGGATAATTGTTACTTTTATGTTCGAATAAATAATAATAATACACACTTCTTCTTCCGACTTTTGTTTTATTCCACAAGGCCAGAAGATAATTCTTCAATAGTATTTTTAAAGTCTATACGCTATGCTCCATAAGAAATCTAAAGGATATTATTAGATAAAGCCACGAAAAGACGTTTGCCTTTATAGAATGAAAAACATAGATAAATGTTTAATAACTAATTTTAATAATTTTCTCATCATGTCTACTTACGGAAACAATATTAAGTAATACATTAAATATGTCGCGCAAGCACTAGTACTTTTTTATATAATGGAAATGTTTATTTTACATTTTAATACAATAATGTACACTGCTCACAAAAATCCTTATTTAGGTTTACAAACGTTTGCCTTAGACATATACTTCTGCTTCCAAAATTTAATGTTTTGACATTTTTTAATTTAAAAAAGATATTTTTTTTAATTTACCAAATCTAACTTTTTCTGTGTACCCCTAATCCCTATTTGCATATTTACGAAAATGGCACTCATTATAATAATTAAAACATAAAACGTGCGGCAAAAATTGACTGAGATACTAACTTTTAAAGTTGAACAGCGTACTTGAGAGGTACATAGAATGAACAACGAAGTGTTTGGATTGTAAGGAAAGATTTCTTAAGGAAGGATTTCTGATATAACAGATTAAGCGAAGATAATTTCTATGCATATTATCGCGAAAAATATTAATTCACATATTTTTTTTCCAAGCAAGAGAACTTATTCAACTGATCTTACAGTTTTTTTTAACAGAAAATACTAACAGACTTCACATTATTGGCACACAGCCAGCTCATAACATTATTTGTATAAATAAAAAAATTATTCTAGTTCAACAAATTTTTATATGAGGATTACATTATTACTCCAAACTAATAAAACTTCGTACGAATATTAGTAAAAAATATCCTTTAACAACTGAAAATGAAAACTCATAAATTGCGTGTGTAAAAATTATCTAAGTATAGCATTTGTATAAAAATAATCAGTTAAAGAATGTTAAATATTAGTAAATCACAAAAGAATATCATTGAATCATATATAAGAAAACGAAATTCTACCTCAGATTATTATCATTTACTATTAAGCGGTCTTCCAATACAAATTGAAAATGACGTGATATATTTCAAATTTTTAAATTAAAAACCTTAGTTAATTTTTTCCGTTCAAGAGTCAGAGGGGCTGTAAGAGCATTTATAAAGTTAAATTTTTTAATGTTTATAAAGTTAAGCTTTTTAAATTTAAAAATGCAAAATACGAATGCTTACGTCATTTAAAATAATTTTGTAACTGAAAATATACGTCTATGATATACGATTGCGAAAGTATAGGACGAGAAGGATTTATGTAAACACGATGTACAATTTTTATAATACTAATACACAATATTAATCTTATATTTCAACCATATAATTAAATAATACATAATTTTCATTTTATATTTTAATACAGTACTACACTCACCACAGACAGGTCAGTTTACTGTAGTAAAACCGCAGACAACGTCTAATAATATTGTTAATTTTTTGCCAGACAACATATTTTGTAGAAGGAGTGAATCCTATTTTTGTTTATTCGTTTAGACACTGGAAGGAAGCTATGAAAAGTAAATTTAAAATTATTATGAAATATTTGCATTATCCCTAAATAGATATGTGTGACTTTCTGTGACTTTTTTCTCGTGTGGCAATCAGTTTGATTTATTTTGTGATTTTAATCCTTTGAAAAAGTAGTCATAAGAATTACCAGTTTTTTTTTTCAAATCATAATGATATTCGTTATCATCGAATAACATGGATGACCCAAAGAGCAATATTCATTAATGGCATTTTTAGTGCTTCTTAACAATAAATATATTTAACGTATTAAAATGTAATATTGAAGCAACAGATGCTACTCCGTATTTCTTTAGTACAATATTTCTTTAGTAAGTAAATTATTATTAAATTAAAATTATTATTATCTTACTTTGCAGCTACTGCGCAAGTATTAGAAAAACTTGATTTCGAACTACGTAAATTTAAGATCATACAACATTATATATAGATATATATATATAACATTTACATATATAAATTAAAAACATTGCACATTGCAGGGAAATTTAATTGCTTAAGAACTTTATAACTTTAATTTAGCAAGCATTACTAATTAATATTGCTAAACATTAAAAGGAAATAAAAATGATGGACAATAAACAGAGAGATTCATATGTTAAGCAATTAATAATCATACACCGTAAAATGTACCGAACAATAAAGGATAAAAATCCTATGTTGACACTTTATGACTTACTTGTACGGCCTATTAAATTATACCCATTTTTTGCTGCACTTCATTTGAACTTATCCCTCGAATGATTCTAAATTAAATAACTGATACCTAAAGGGAAATTGAAATTTAAGAAAAAAAAAAGTGCAAATTTTGAAATTAAACATCTAGGTCAATTTTTGTTGTACGGAAGTCAAACTTCTTCTAATTTTACTTTATCATAACAAAAGTTTCCCCAAATGTAAGTATAGGAATTCGAAAATGCATTAAAAGTTATATTTCGTTATTTCTCCAAACTAATTTTTTTTATATCTAACATGGCCAAAACATGAACATGTTGGTCATTTAATAATATTATATATAAAACTAAAACTATATATATATATCATATATTTAGTAGGAGGAATTTCGATGGTGTAGAAGTGTTGACTCATAATGACTAGGAAATTGGAGGCGAAGGCAGATTAAATCTTCAGTTTTATTTTCAGCAGCACACAAGTTGGCACATTAAATGTGCCTGTTCCAGAAGGCTTACATTTTTGATAACTTTGTAGGAAGAAAGCAGCAGCAGACACACATTAGTCCAGCTAAGCCAAAGCGGTGAAAGCAAGTTTCTAATATTCAGGATGAAATTTTAAGTCAAACTGAGTTAGTTTTAGTTTTCAAAGCATTTTGATTGGATAGTTAATATTGCTGTAAAATTATTATTGGCTGCTTGAGTTTTAGTTCAATTTATATCACCAGAATTATGTAAGATTGATATGACATAGATTTTTCTCGAAATGACGCCGTGCAAATAGATGTTGCTATTTTTAGAATAGAGAAGGGAAATTAATTTATGCTGCTAATTTAAGAAAAGCCTTTTTAAAGAAAAAAGCTTTAAAGCACTAGCAAATGAAAAAAAATATAAATCATAAAATTTTTATCCTGTAAAGTATAATTTATAAATATCAATTTTTATATAAATTTTAAATTTTAAAGTCCTATTGAATTTTTCAGCATTTCAATCCAAAAGTT